CTAAAACATGCATGATGACCAAAACCGATCAGATCAATCAGATCGACAGGGAAGGAAGCCATTGTATAAGTGATGCGTTGTGGTGATTGCCGGCCGGCTAACCTCCTCTTTAGTAGCTTTATCTATTTCAATTTCCTTCATTTTGTTATTTCTGCTATTAATCGTTATCTTTGTTATACTTGTTACTTTGTATTATAATTGAAAATTATGTTTAAATATTATGTCATTTCTTTGTAATAAAGGTTTAATTACCCAAGTTTGAGGTATACTCAAGCTCTCACGCATTTGACGTTTATCACAACGATACGATTTATTAGCAGAAATATAGAAGAATTATCTCTTCTACTTTTCTGTTAAAACTCAATTTTTTTTTTCAGCTGCTGAAGCAGTTGAACAGTAATTGTCATAGATGTGGCTGTGTTTTATCACATCCACAAAGGAAGACAAAGCCATCAAACCGAAACAGTGCCGATGTTGGAGGAAGTTTTTTATCTTGATTTATATGCATTACTGACTGATAGAAAACATTTCTGAACGTAGAAAACTCGGATGTGATATACAAATAAAGTGTGCAGTATCAAAACTTATTTTATTTATTCATTCTATTTTGCTTTTTATTGCATTTTAGACAGTTAAAAAAAAAGCATTAATACGAAGTAATTTATTCATGACCGATATATCAAAAAATTTCTGTTTACTTTTTTTTCGTCAATATGCTAGTTTTGCTTTTTTTTAAGAATTATTTTTGTTGTTAAAGTTCTACAAGAGGAGTACTTCTTTTGCAGGTATTATTTTACAGCTATTTCTACCAAATGCAGTGAAATGTTTCAAGTTAAAAGCATAGAAAAATGCATATTTATTTGTATTTCAAAATATTTCTTTTTTTAATAATTTTTTGAACCTTCTCAATAAATCTTCCTTTTCTGTTTAAATTTTTTTAGCATACCTGTGGCTTTAGACCACAATTCCGTTATGTGGAAGTATCGTTAAAAATGATATTTGTTGTTCGGTATTCACTATTACAAAAAAAAAACGATAAAGTTTTTGTTGATTATTTTTATTATCAAAAAAAAAGATGAATTTTTTCTTCAATTTTTTTTTGCTTTTTATACTCTTTTGTTTTTCTTGTAATTTTATGCATAGACTTGAATGGTACGGAAGCATAGAAACAATCGAATTTAAACAGTCAGTTACTCGGTTCTGCAAACCTGTGTCTTTTAAAAGTTGGTTTTCCAGTTTGACAAAAAACAGAATAAATAATTTTGTGTAGTTTAACCAATTTTTTAAACTTCAAATTACCTTTTTTCTATTTTATTACTAGTTTTAACATTTGGAAGATTTCATGGTCAGTGCAGAAGAGGGACAACGAGAGCACTGGTAATGCTAACATCATCGAGGCAGTTGCTGAGATGCTTAGCAGTACTCTTCAAAAATACACGAATTTTTTTATATATCAAATTAATTTTGTAGCAACTGCTCAATTATTTGTTATTATTTCACTTTTGAAACAGTTCATTTGTTGCTTAGTTAAATGTTAGTTGGTAAACTGTTCTCCTACAAAAAACGTTTTCTGTCAGTCAAAAAAAATTTTAATAATTATATCAAATAAAACTAACTGGGTTGTCAGACTTCTAAATAGGTAACCAAAAGTTGACCAGTTGCTCAGGTGTTTAATCAAAGAATCAGTTTTGTATGCAAGAGGCAGTATTAAAAAAAAAAAGAAAAAAAAACACTTTAATGTAGTTCCGAGTAAAGCTTAATAAGAATGAAAGAAAATATACATATAATACATTTTTTATTGCTCGATGTTTTTTTTTTTGTCAATTTTTAATAAAGCTTTTTGTATGCACTACATTTTAGTTTCTAAGGCAACATTTTAGCTGGATTTGAAGACTCTACATCAATTCTGCTCTTTGACATACATATATTTAAAAAATGAGTAATTGATTCTTTTTTTCTTGATGACAATTGCTAACCAGAAACTCTGAGTAATTTTTTCTTGGTTTTTTTGTAAAACTGATAGCAAAACAGATACTTTATGCGGAGTATATTTGGGGATTTATGACATCTTAACCGAATTAACGATAGTCTTCATTGCCTTTGATTCGGTTAAGACAATGATAACTGGGTAGTTGAGTGTTTTTTTTTGTATGTTGGTATATAACTCAAATTTTCTTAGCTGTCGCAACAAGTGAAATAGCTGCTGGTCTAAAATTTATTGCAAAACCTTTCTGACGGTACTGCTGCTGACAAGATAACTCTAAAATTAAAGCCAAGACGAAAAAAAAAAAAAAGCAGAACTAAAACAAAGATGAAAAAGGATAAGAGCTGCGTTTGAAAATGTTTATTAATTCCGTTGTTATGCTGTTGCTAAACCACAGATATTTGCAGAAGAGAAAGTAAAATTAGAAATAGAACTAACGCTTTTTTATCTAAATGCTAGTCGATGAATGAGAGCAAAATTTTCTTTAAAAAATTATATTTCTTTTTCATTGCAAAAAAAAATTTGTTTTTTTAGTTTCTAGTGAGACATCCTGCTAGAGCAAGTGCAAAACGTCGAAGATGAACAGTTAATTAAGACTGAGCTAACCATAACGTCACTGGACTTTTTTACGCAGCTTCCGTTTTTTTTTTTTTTTTTCATTTGGCATACTTCTAAGAAGCGTTTAACATGTGACTCTCGATACGTATTTGGAAGTGTATGGTGTATCCAACATAAAAGAATTACATTATTCCTTCTTTTCTGGTTTTGTAAGCTGAATTAACCTTCTCATTTCATCCCGGTTACCCCACTCTTCACTTTTCCAATTTATTTTATCTCTACTCACATTTCCCTAATGAATTGTCGCCTCTCCTCCCTTCTCCAACTCCTCCTCTGCTTTTCACTTTTGCCTCCACCGACCACCTTTCAGGTCTCACTAACAAAAAAAAGAAAGAAAAAAAAATACAATTTTAGTTTATCAGTCGAAAAAATCAAACAGCGTAAAACTATTATAATACAACGTTGTTCAAGTACACAAATTTAAAAAAAAAAATTTACACTTCAACAGTATGTAAGTTTACAACTCGTGCAAAATTTTCGCTAATATTTGAATTTTCTTTTTTCTCTTTCCTTATAGTGTTACTGTTTTATCAGTAACAAAAAAACGATTAGCAACCAACGATCATATAAGAAATTTCCAGTGACTTCTTTATTAAAACTGTTTTGTCAACAAAACAATAAGAAGGCTCTTTCTTAATATAAAAACAGTGTAGGTTAATTGGTTAACAACTGGTGGCCATAGCTTTTTTTTTTTTTTCGTTTTCAACCAGAAGTTTTCTTAGATTTACGACTTGTTTCAAACAGAAGACTACCCGTTGTTACAAATATGCATTTATTTGTTTAACTTAAGTGATCTGAATTGACAATTACGTCAGGAAAAAAAACTAAACAAAAAAAAAAATGACAAGAACTGCTAATTATTCATTTTCGATGTATAATAAACTTGCAGAAAAAATTTTTCTTTCAGTTTTTTTGGTTTATTTATTTTTCTAGTTAATACATTTAGAGAATATCACCTCTCTAAACTACTTGTCATAAAAGGAAGGTTTTTTTTATAACTTTTGAAAGTTCTTCAGCAAACAGTTCAACTAAACGCAATAGAATATTTCAGATGAAGAAAACGAAGAGGAGAGACAGGCGGAAGAGGTTGGAAACAATTAAGATTTATCCGTATCTGCTTTCATAAAAAGCAAGAGATCGTCGACAAAAGAAAGATAAAAGAAAAAAAGCAGGAAATATCAACTGTGTTAGCCGCAGTTGATTAGATTTCTTTTTTTTTTTACATATCGTGCTTCTGTGTGTATTGAGCACTGAGCCTTATTCATCTTTTCAGCTTCAACATAGGTACACTTTCTGGCGCTGAAGAACCTTTACGACTGTTACGCGGAACCGGTGATGGCGTTTCACTGGGTATCGACGACTTTTGCGTGGATAGCGAACGCGTTACCTTTGACGAATTATACCAGTTAAGACTTTGAGTTGACTTTATCGGGAAACATCGATACAGTGTTTCTTTGCATCGTTGACTGAAAGGAGTTATTAGTGTTTCAGAAGTTGCTCCTAGTGAATACGTCTGTTAACAGCGAAAGTTATTTGATCGTCAAACACTAAAAATTCACAGGTCTAACCATGCCAGACGAATTTATAACAGACCTTGAAAAAAAAATGCAGAACTTTTAGATGACAAAAATCTACAGTGTTTACCTGCTATCAAGCAATTTCATTTTCTTTTTACCTTTTTTTTCTTTTTTTCTTTGAGTAGCTTTTAATATTAAACTGTTAAATCTTTTGGTAAAAAAGCATATTACCAAAAAAGAAAATATTGATAATTTAGCACATGTATGAATTGAAAAAGCTGTTAGTTTAAACATTTTTTAAGATTTATTTTCAACATCGCCCATGATAACTTTTCAGAAGTTGAATTACAGAAAAACGCACTTTGTTTTGTTTTTTCTTCTCGAAATTTAACTAGAGTTTGCTACAGAAATTCAGCCAGCTTCTGTTGGTACTAAGCTTGAATCAGCCTTGCCGAAAGTAAGTTTAGTTAAACGTTGTTGATTACGACAAATAATAAGTAAGGAAATAAGTTCAAAGTGATCATAAATATCTGTTTTTGAGAATGTGTGTATATGATGTTTGTTGCTGTTGCTATTAATAGTTGCTTTCAAAAAAAAAAAAAAAGAGACTAAAGCACGTTTAGTTGTCGTTATCCAAAAAAGAATTTTTTTTTATCTTTAGTGTTTTTAGATTTTACATATTAAACAGAATTTTGGTGATAAATGTTTTGCTTAAAATGTTGTCAGCAAAATAGGCTTTTTTCTTCTCCCTCTTCCCTCTCCATCACTTTCCAGCTTTCATCCATTCAATTCACACTTTTTAATGATCTTTTTAAGGCTTAGTTTAACAAGAAAAACAAGCTAAAGTAAACAAAAAAAAAAAAAGAAAAAGACAGAAACTAGCTTACCGAAAGGCTGCGCTGCTAAGGCATAGTAAAACAATATTCAATGATTTGCCAGTGATGACCAAGAAATTGGTCACCGATGAAACAATTGAGAACGTCATTGTTGCTGTACGTTGTGTACTGTCGTCGTAGAAAAATGTTTCATACAAAAACACAAATGCTGACGGTACATTGGTAATGGTAAAACATGTAACAATTGTAACCACGGTTTTTGTCATCTTTTTTTCCTGAATATCTGCATTCTGTTTGGATGACGCACCTATAGATGCCTGCAGAAGCAAAAAAAATAAGGCAATTTAGGAAACAAACATAGATCAAAAAAAAAATTTGAGCAGAAAAAGTAGAGTGCAAAATTGAGTATAAAATGATAATACGATTGATAATAATATTGTAAAGTGATCTCAACAAAGACTCTGACAATAACGAAATTCCACAGTGGCAGTTACTATTCTATGGTAATGTTGCAAGTAACAAATATTTCTTTAATCTTCAAATTTTTGCCTTTCTCTTTTTCTGAGTGATAAAAACCACGAAACACAGCGAAACCATTATGTATTTGTAAAACAATATGACAACAATATAAAACAATAATTCTTACTTTCATTTTACTTTTATGTAGTAATTTAATCAACAGTATATTAAGTGCAGCAACCAAAAACACAGGACATATTACACCAAGTACTGCGTTACAGGTGGTACCAACATCCACATACAGTTCAAATAATTTTGATGGTTTTTTCCAGTTTGGATCATACACTGACCAGTTTTCAAACGATCGTGATAAACACAGTACATAAATTTCTGTATATTCACTACCATTTGGGCACATTTGCATAAGCATACATTTACGAGATACGGAATGATGACTAAAAATTTAATGAACATTTAGTTTGTGCATCTAAAAAGTCAAAAAAAAAGTAGATCTTGAAAAAAAAGATTTAAATTAATAATAATAAGTGTAATTTGCCAAAAAAAAAAGTTCAGAAGAATTAAAATCAAATTTATGTTAATTTTAGCATTTTTTTTTTCTTTCACTTTCTGCCTCCGATTATTTCACTCTTTTAATTCTCCTATCCTCGTATAATGGTTCCCTCAAAAGCAGTGTATCAGCTGTTTCTTCTATTGATCTATTTAAGAGTTTTGAACATTATACTCTAAAGTGACACTTTTTTTTTTGTACTATAAATAGCATTTTACAGCTTAAAAAATTGTCTTAATTTTGAAAATTAGATTTTTTTTCTACACTGTTTTTTGGTTCTCTGATAGTAATAAATTGGCGATAATGTTAATAGAAAAGAGAATGAGAATAATAATAAGCTAGAAGATAAGAATAGCAGTAATATTTATTGGACTAACTGCGTGAGTAGGAAAGTGATTATCAGACTGATGGCGACAACGAATAGTGTAGTTCTTAACTGAAAAACTCATCGTATATTATAATAACAATTTTTTTTTTTTGGTTTTTTTAAAACATTTCTTTTTTTCCCAACATACATTATACGCGTAATATAATTTGTTTTATAAATTATATACATATTTTAATGCTTACTTAGTAAACTAAATAAAAAATTTCTTATCCCTTTTTTTTTTGCAGTTTTCTATGGTCTAAAATTTGTTCTATCGTCTCAACGTTAAGTTAGTTGTTTTCTGATAAACTTTTGGTTAGCATATTAGTATTCATTGATTTCAAATGCTGTATAAGTAATTTAAGCATCAAACAACAAAAGCTTAGAAACAACAAAAAAACGAGCTTTCAATGTCTTAATGTCTCTCAACAAATTTGAGAACGGAAATGAAACAATAAAGAAAAAAGAGAAAGAAGTGAAGTAAATAAGTTGTATTAAGTAAAACATAAAATATGACTTAAATTTTTTTACTTTTATCAACTTTTAATCTTGATATTAAATCACCATATTGTCTGCTCTGTTTTCAAAAAGCATTTTTTTTTTTGTTCAAATTGTTGTTGTTTTTCTCTATAGATTAAGACACACAAACAAGATGAAAGTTAAATTTACTCGATATGGACGTAGTGATCGAAACGGAAATTTGATAATTAGAACTCGTTCAATTGATATTGCCAGAACGAACCTAAAAGTATGGTACTTTATCACTAGTGATAAGCAGTAGCTTGTCTTAAGACTTTACTGTTCTTCCCTAATTCAGCTAAATTTATTGCACCTTTGAAAAGTTAAATTTAGCCACTTGTTTGTCACTTGAGTGACCATACGAGAAGAATTAACTTTATTTACATTTCATATTTTTTCATCATCATCATTTCAATCAGCTTGAAACCCCAACCTCATTCGTTCCTTCCTAACCCGCCATTTCTTTGAACTCTTCAGAAAAAGAAACATCATAAAAATTAAAAAAAAAAAAAAAAAAAA